TTAAGTTCGTTTATTCCGTTCATTTATTTTATTTATATTCTTAATCTGGCAATCACATCGCAAAATTACGTAAAAATGGCAGATTCTATTAACAGTTTTATTGATCTTGACACCGGCTGTATAAAATATCCTGATGGAGACTTTACTTTTATATTAAACTTTATTCTGTTTAGTTCGCCAAAAGATAGAGTGAGGGCGTTAGTGTGACAGATTTCATATAAAAAAGCTACTGTATTAGAGATCTTCATTTTATACGGAAATACGGAATATATGAACATTTTCCTATTTATACATGAAATATACGAAGTAAAGTATATTCATCCGCATCTATGAAAATTCGTACATTTCATTCGCAACCATACACATTGCTGTGTCCAGTTTGTCGTCGTGGCAGTTTCAAACACAATGTCATTGTTCTCAACTAAATTTGAAAAACAGTTGAAGAAAAAAATACAAGATTATTTGTTGAATATTATTTTAGAAGCCGTATCCGATTCGAAAAGTGCGATTTTAGAAATAAATTCAGATAATAAAATAGAAATTGAAAGTTACGTCAATGAAGATAAAAACCTTTCACAAGGCACCGTTTACAGTGATTATATTACGAGTGGCAAAGATTTATTTACCATTTTAGAAAAATTTCACTCAATATTACCAAAAAAATATCAATTCGGCTTGAATCTCTGTCACCTAATCTGTCACTTTGACTTTTTGAATTTAAAAATATGACTTTTCATATGCGCCATCCGCAAAATGTGTATGAAGCATTCGACACCGTCCGCAAATTTGTATGAAACATCCGCCATCATTCGCAAAATTTGTATGAAACATTCGCGAGCATTCGTTTCCATTTGCAAAATATATATGAAAAATTCGCTCGCATATGGAACATTCGCATAAGTCGGAACCCCCTAGGTTTTTGCTTGTATTTTTTTTACATCAACTTCCATTGCATTCTATATTTAAAATCATTAATTTCTCTCTAAACAGGAAAAAAGTGGAAAAAGGTTCTGAAAAGCCCAATTAAATTTGTATGAATTTATCGTTTTGAAATCTACAAAAAAATTCCTTACATTAAAAACTATATATGATCATTTGAACACGATAGTTAAAACTTCACTAACTTCATTTCGTGTGACTGAAACTAAGCGGAAATGAGGCAATTCTTAGTCATAAAATGTTATTCTCTTTTCACTTTCACTTTCAAATGTATCTTTGATTTTGTGATTCTGATTTTTAACCAAAATGAGAACAGAAAACACATATGATACAATAATTATTTCTTTAAAAGTAGAACTTTTTGATCAACATTCGTTTGCGAAAATAGACCTTTTGCCGGTGGTTGCATATCGAAGTGAATTGATTTTCATCCAAAGCAAGCATCTTGTTTCGTAATGCTCATTGTTTGATATGCTTAAAATACATATGTCACGGCATTGGTCCTCAATTATGTTCAAACCTGGCTTCAATAAAAGCATTTTTTTATTAGTTCTAGATTTATATCCAGATTAATTTTCGAAAAAATTGGTATACCCAATAGTTAAATTGTTACAACTGCAGTGGATAATTTTGTAAAAGACTACATTAATTATTTATTGTTTCGTAAGTAATCTTAAATCTTTGTTCATATTGATTGGATCAATTATGACAAGAACCAAAAGTAGATGTTGTATATAATCATATTCTGCTTTTGTGCGTTAAATAGAAATAACCATAAGTAATTCGATTGAATATGCGATTAAAATTAATGACTTTCACTGAATAGTTATCTTTGTCCAGCCATTTTTTGGTTTCGTCATTATTAGTGCTTGCTTGTCTTTATTTTATTTTTTCTCCATTGCATTGTGTCAACACTTATTTTCTCTCTCATACATCCATTTCTTTCGCTTCTGATAAAAGTGACATTGTAGAAGTTGTGAATATGATTCCCTTTTTACACTTTACCAACAAAAAATCAACGCAACCATCGAGCGACAGTCGCTAAACTGATTGCAATGGAGTGAACAGTCTTTATTGGTGAGGGGGCTAATACTACATGGATCAAAAAGTCTCTAGAATCGGACACTAGATGGCGACACAAGTAAATATCCATCTCATTTTTAGAAAGAGCCATCCTTCAAACCTCCAAATATGAAATTTGAGCCAAATCCGTTCACTGACTCAGAAGTTACAGCACTTAATCGAACATAGCCTCAAAATGGGTCCAAATTCTCCATTTCATCTCTTTATCTCAAGGAGTGGACTGAATGTTAAAACTATTTCTGCACCCAGACGATAGATAAAGGTCCCACCAGTCCACACCAGAAATATGAAATTAATACGTTTTCTACTTCGTGAAATATTGCCATCATTTGTATGGCTTCCCGAGATGATTTTTGGTCACATTACTGAAGTGTATATTTTCTCAATAAAAACAGTATTTCCTTGATTCAAAAAGTTCAAAAATGGCATGGATTATTCTTTTGGCATTGCTTCGTCCCATTCAAGATGATAAAGCAATATTTGGAACAATGCACTTCCAAAGAATACGAGCTAAAACCAAAAATGTGATTTTTTGACCTTCTGAGGTTATGTCGATATTTGGTGATGGTCGAGATGATCCATTGTCTCATAATGCACTTTATGGGTTCAATGAGACATCATCAGTTAACAATAAATAAAAATACCAACTTGATTAATGCAAGAAATCCTTGCGACATCGCTAGAAAGTTGAAACTTGATTTCATTCCGGGCAAATACATAAACTCAGAATGAGTGAATTTTTTTTACCCAAATGTTGGAGCAATACTTTTCCAAAACTATTCTACGGAATTCTTGGGATCTACTCTACATTATTCACGCGAATAGTGCACACTTTCATGGCGATATATTGGATTCATTCAAACATCTCTTCAAAAACTGCCATTTCGAGGCGTCCATTTTCCCCGTCTGTACGACCACATGTAAATTCAATAGACTACTTCTAAATGGCCCTAATCGATAGTAGAGAGTCCAAGCAATACCAGCAAGCTCAGTTTTGGTTTCGCTGATGGCCCATCAGTGATGATCAGTGATGGGTATAACAAACAAAAATTTATAGTTGTTCAATAAATGAATTTTTGTTTTTTTGCATTTTAACAAAAACCAGGAGGTTGGTCTGTTTCAAGAATTGTAACTTCTGAGTCAGTGAACGGATATGGCTCAAATTTCATATTTGGAGGTTTGAAGGATGGCTCTTTCTAAAAATGAGATGGATATTCACTTGTGTTGCCATCTAGTGTCCGATTCTAAAGACTTATTGATCCATGTAGTGTAGTGGTGTCGCGTGCTTGGAATATATTACATTATTACATGCATCGCTTTACATTGTGGAGCGAAGCATTTTAGCGGAAGACAAGATTCGAAACACGTTAGTTATATTATTGTATTGGATGGGCGCATAATTTTTCGTTTGTTCGAACTCAATAGAAGCATCAAACCAAAAGTTTGGCCTTAACGTATTCACTACTTTTTGAAAAGTGCTCTTTATGAAATTGGAAATGAGTCGAACAGACCATTTGATCATCACACAAATTTGTTTGCATTTTCTAATATCGTCACACAACATTGATTGAATTTTTATTTAAAGAGCCCTTTGAAGTGAACATTATTGGATAAAGATCTTGTTTAGCTTTGTTTCGTTAGATGTGACATTGGAATTTTTTTTTCTGTTGTTGTTGTTGTTTGCAACAAAAAATATTATCATTGTAAACAAACAAATTATGCACTACTATTTCTGCCCACTCACATCAAATGAAGAAAAAGAGATCTTGACATGTGAATGAAATGTCAGTCTTTGGTAGAATTATGGCATTGCAAATACACTCAATGTAATTTGCAACATGTATGTGATGCAAGATGTGATGTCTGATGTGATTTCAAATTAATCTGCATTAGACACTA